TCGTCCCCAGCTCCCGAAATGGAGGTCTCCTAAGGCACATGTCCATCCAGTTGTACCCTGACTGTAGCGTAATCCCCAGGAACCTCTGCGGCATGAACCCCAAGTTCACGGCCACATGCTGGGATGCATTTTAGAGCTCAGACTGGAAACAGTCCCATGGAGGAGGGCCCGTCAGTCTTGGGTCAGGCAGGGAAGGCGCACTCTTGCATTTCATGTTTCCAGCTGGTTCGGGGTCTCACCGCCCTGAGCTCCAGCAGCAGGCCCCGAAACACAGCGCTCACGGGGCAGGTATTGCAGCCTCGTGATAGCTGTCTGTGCGCCACCGTCACCCCAGACAGAAAGTGAGCGTCCCTGGGAAAGGGCGCATTGGAGATGTGCCCATCCCAAGAGGAAGCAGAGCCGAGCTCAGGATGGAGGACCAAGGCGCAGCCCCCAGGCCCTCCCCCCAGGCCGCCAGAGTCCTCCGTCCAGTCCCGCTGACGCCTCCCCAGCAGGAGCTGCCCAGGCTCACACTGCCCAGGAGCCTGGAAGCACAAAGGCCTGTTTAAACACACAAAACTCCTTTGTGACTGAGGCGGACGGAGGAGGGCCTGACGTGCACTGTGCGTAATTCAAACTCTAATCGGCGCCCGATAAAGGAAAATCACAAGACAGTCTGAACTGTGTGGCTCCAATTCTGATCCATTTGCTGACATGCGGTTTCAAACTGCTTTAGGTCTTCCTAATTCACAGAGCAGAGAGCAAGCCGTATTGCGAGTGTCATGAAAAGAAGCACTTTTATCTTGGAGGTGAAGTCATCCCGCCCAGCTGGTGTGGCTCAGTGGTTGAGTGCTGGCCTGTGAACTGAAAAGTCACCAGTTTGATTCCCAGTCAGGGCACAGACCTGGGTTGCAGCCAGGTTCCAGTAGGGGGCGTGTGAGAGGCAACCGCACACTGATGTTTCTCTCCCTCTCTTTCTCCCCCCCTTCCCCGCCTTGAAAGTAAATAAATAAAATCTTTAAAAAAAAAAACAAATAAAGTCATCCCCATCCATGAATTATTTCTTAAAAAACACTTAAAATAAGCAGGTGCTCTTCTCACTTTAAATATCAGTTCTAAGAATAAGGAACATCGCGTCATTGACGGTGTCACACAGGCAGGGTGACTACCTACCGCCCGAGAGAGGGAAGATCCCCCCACAGGCACCAACAGGTCTCCTCCTGCCCCCGGCTGTTCTCGGACTCAGGGACAGATACACAACTCGGCGTCTGCTCACTGGCAGGCCCTGCTGGGCTGGGCAGACCTGCAGCCTCCTGGCCTTGGGCCTGTGTGGAGACACACCGGCCAGGACAGACAGTCCTCACTCCGCTCAGAGCCTACAGCCTGGTGGACTGAGGCACGACCCCTGGCAGTGCACTCACTGGTAGGGGCAGGGCACGGTCTCCCAGGCAAGGTGACAAGTCTCAGGGACCGACAGGTGTGCAGTCTGCCCCCAGCAGCCCCGCCGCCCCCCCCCCCCGTCTGTAGAGTGGGGACAAAGCAAGCAGTCGAACCCATCTGGGCTGCCGGGGCCACAGCCCCTCCTGACTGCCACCTGCAGCTGTCCTCGGGCCTCCGTCCTCTCTTTCCTGCCCAGAGACAGGGAGGGAGGGTGGCCTCCCATGTCTGCCTGTCTCGCACCTGCGCACCAGCTTCTACCTCGAACTGAACAGACGAGACTTTGGGATTTTGTCCCCTGGTCCTATTCAGGGGGCACCCTTTGGGGAAAAGGGGGTCCCCACTCAGTGAGGGAGGCTCGGTGAAGGCTGCTGGGGGGTCCGGGTTTCCTTTCTTGAGAGGCTTAGAAGCCGGCGGGTGGAAGGGTCTGGTGGGCAGCAGAGGGGCTGCATCCAGGGAAGGGGAGACGAGGAAGGGGCTCATGGAGGGGGTCATGGAGCACGGAGGCGGGAGAAGTAAGATGGGAACCCCTGAAGAGGGGGCCAAAGGGTTGGAAGGATTGAGGTATCCATCAGCTTGGAGCAACCCCCGAGCCATCTGCCACGGGCCCAGGAAGGACGCATCTCTGGTCTGTAGGGTCAGGACCAGCTGCTCCCACTCAGCTTGGGGCTCACCTGGAGCAGTCGCTGCAGTGACTGAGTCAGCCCAGAAGGCAGGACACCTCCCACGGCTTCCTCCCACCACCCCGCGCCGACGAGTGCTGGGGGCAGTGCAGCCAATGCAGTTCCGACCCTGGCGCCACACTGTGTCCGACAAGGCGGGTATAGTGCTCGCAGAGCGAGCACTGGGGTCCTCCTGTGGCTTATCCACCCCACGATGGGCGTCTGGGGTGCCATCTCGCCTCGTTTCATGTTTTATGACACCTGGACCACAGTCTTGAGGTTACAGCTGAGCGTAAGTGGGCTTCGATTCGGAGTGACAGTGCAGCCTTGGGCAGGTCACCAACACTCGGATGCCTCCCTCAGCCTCGATTCCTCCCCGGAAAACGCATGGAGGGCAGGGTTTCACGAGCATTCAGGGGTGTGCGTGGGAAGTGTGAGGGCTGTTCCGGACTCTCGGAGGACACAGCCCAGCCCCCAGGAGGTGCCCCTCTGCTGGGGACACGGGCACGACCCGCACTCCAGCTCACGGCGGCCTCTGCGTCCAAGCGTCCAGGTGAGTCGGCGACTGAACTGAGCACAGACAGCAAAGGCCACCAGACGGATGAGTGGGCAGGAGTCTGTGTGTTTCACAGGCTCACGGTGCGTTTGTGTTCTCCTGCTCCCCTGACAACGACCACACCTTAATGGCTCCACACAACGCCGCCCACCTGTCACCCCCCAGCTCCAGAGGCCAGATGGGTGCAGGATGGGGGGCTCTCCACCCAGGCCAAAAGCACAGTGCTCGGCAGGGCTGCGGGGCTTTCTGGGGGCTCTAGGTCTGCATCTCAGCTCTTGGCTGAATTTGGCTCCGGGAGGTTTGTTGCAGGATTAAGGCCCCGTTTCCGGGGGGCGCTCAGCCAGGCCTCTGTGAGGGGGCGCCTTACGGTGTGCGTCTCCTGTGTGAGTTTCACGTCCTTTACAAAGGGCACCATCTACATCCGGGTAGGTTTACAGAGCTTCTCCCAGGTCTGCTGTGTCTTAAAGTCAACCAGCCTGAAATGATCACAATCCCAAAGTGACATATTTTGGAGTGGCAACCTCTGGTCCCCTCATTGACAATGAAATATTCTTCAGCAATAAAAAGAATTGTTTTCTTCATCAAATGAAAAGATATGGAGGAACTTTAAAAGCATATTACTAAGTGAAAACAGCCAACTATAAGACATGCTGGAAAAGGTAAAACCTTGGAGACAGCAAAACAGTCCGTGTTGGCCAGGGGTCGGGGCAGGAGGGATGAATCACATCCCTCTGGACTTAAAAGTCCTCTGGAGCACAGAGGACTTTTAAGTCGTAAAAATACGCTGTATGATATATAATTACATAAATACACATCTCTGTGTCTGGGGTCTATCTATGACAACTCTGAGCTAGCTACTAAATCTGAACTTGAAAACTATCCACACTTAGTATTTGAAATCATATTCGGTCACCGGAATCTAAATAAATAAAAAATTAAAGATATGCAAAGAACAACTGATTTCTTTCAAGTTTTTAAGGTATAAAGGAAGGCAGCTCATACCATGGTTGGTGTGGCTCAGTGGGTTGAGTGCCAGCCTGTGCACCAAAGGATCAGGGGTTCGATTCCCAGTCAGGGCACATGCCTGGGTTGCTGGCCAGGTCCCCAGTAGAGGGCGCGTGAGAGGCAGCCACGCAGTGATGTTTCTCCCTCTCTCTTTCTCCCTCCCTTCCCCTCTCTCTACAAATAAATAAATTAAAAATATAAAGGAAGGTGGCTTGCTATTTTCAGGAACATGTTACTTTTGTTGTTTTTATGCTTTTAAATTTTTCTTTATCGCTTGCTTTCTGGGAGAGAACAAGAGAGAGGAAGGAAGGGAGAATCGGGGAGAGAGAAGCCAAGTTACTGCTCAGTGGTGCTTGTATGCGCTCTGACCCAGGACGGAACCCACAGCCGCAGCGTAAGGCGGGGAAGCTCCAACCGACTGAGAGACCCGGCCAGGGCTACCATCGCGGTTTTCAAATTTCAATTTAAAGGGAGCTAGTTAACGCAAAAATACGGTCTAAACTAAAACGAATCGTCTTGCCATCACTTCAAAAGACATCTCGTACACTCATTAAAGCACCTGCATTAGCCGAGTCTCAAACCTCACTCGCTTTTTCAGCCGCTGGGCAGCAGACTGGAAGGTTAAGGAGACTGCCGCCCCTTTCTCTGCTCGGCTTCACAGCGAAGGGTTGCACGCACTGACCGCACTTCTTCCCTTTCCTCTTAAACCCACTCGAAACAGGTCTGCACCGGTCGCTGCAGAGGCCGCCCGGGTGCAGGTCGAGGCCGGCGCCCCCACCCCTGCCGCGCCACAGTCAACAGTCCGCAGACCACTGCCTTGCCCGCCCTCGCCGTGCCCGCCACGCAGCCATTCGCCGGGAGCCCAACGCCCGGGTGGCCACGCCCCCTCCTCCGGGGCTCTGCCCCCGGCCGCGGTGAGCTCACCTAGCGTCTCAGACTGCCGTCGGGGACGAACGCGGACAGCCCCGGTAAAGGAAGTGAGGACCGCCGGGGCGGTGCTTTCTCGGTGCCGCCCGAGCCGGACGCCCCGCCCGCCCGTCGGAGCGCGCTCCCATTGGCCGAGGCGCTGGCTGGGGCGGGGTCTTTGAGGAACCGCCGGACCCGGGGTTCACAGCTCGGGCCCTGAAGCGCCCCCTTCCGGACTCCCAGCGCCTCACAAGGATTTTCGCGCAGGCGCAGTCAGCGAGGTCCGGCAGCCCCGGGCCTTTCCGGAGGCCCAAGGCCCCGCCCGCGGCTCAGGGGAGCTCCCGGCGGCCCCGCCCGCGGCTGCGGAGGAGGCGGAGGGGAATGACGTCATTGAGCCGGGCGACGGGCATTGGGCGCCATTTTGAAAAGGGTAAAAAAAATCCCTCCTCGGCGGCGGCGGCGGCAGTAGCGGCCTGGCTGAGGTGCTGAGACAGCAGCTGCGCGGAGCCGCCTGCTTCGTCCGCCGCCGCCTCGGCGCCCGCCGGCCGTCCGGCCATGGCAGGTGAGGGCCTGCGCGGGGCCGAGTCGCCGGGCCGGGACGGGGGGCGCGGGCGGGCGGGGCCGCGCGGCCTGACGCGCCCGGTGTGTCCGCAGGAGCCGGAGGCGGCGGCTGCCCCGCGGGCGGCAACGACTTGCAGTGGTGCTTCTCGCAGGTCAAGGGTGCCATCGACGAGGACGTGGCGGAAGGTAAGGCGTCGCTCCCCGCCCCTCAGCCCCCGGGGTCGCGGCCGTGGCCGCGGAGATCGTGCGCGCCGAGGTCCGAACCGCAGACCGCAACCGGGCGCGGGCCGCGCGCAGAGCCAAGGTCACGGCGCTGCTCGTTCTCGGTCTTCTGTCCGCAGGTGGCTGCCGCCCGCCTCGGCGGCGCTGGGGTCGCTGCGGACCCTCGGGGCGCGGGAACCCCGACCTGGCGGGACCGGGGCTGGGGTTCCCGACCCGGCGCCCTGCCTCCTGCGGGTCTGGGGCTGGTGGTGGGCGCGGTTTCTCTGCCTCCTTCCTGCTCCTTCTCCGGGGAACTTGGCGGTGTCTTCCAACCCCGGAGGGGGCCGGTCCTCACCCGCAGGCCTGTTGCGCGGGCTCGAGTGGCCGGCAGCCGCCGCCCCGGACGAAGGGGGCGCGGACCGGGAAGCGCGTCGGCTCCGCCCCCGGGAATCTCGGAAGACGCCGGCGGCTCCCGGGCGGGCAGCGGCCCTGGGGCGGCCCAGCGTGCGGGGTGCGGGAGGGCGCACGCCTTTCAGAGGAACGCAGGCGTTCTCGAAGTTCGAGGGCCGCCTCCCCGAGTGGGGCGTCCGGGCTGTTCTGCGCGCCGCGCTCCGCGGTGGCCTCCCCGGGCTGCTTGGTGGGGGCGTGCGGGCTCCCTCAGGCCCGGCTCCCCGCTGCTCGGGCTGCAGCTGTGTCCGTCGTCGGTTCCGAAGCTGGAAAGCGAAACCGCCGGCGGCCAGGGGTCGCTCTGCGGCGGGGGCGAGGGGGTGGCCGGGCGGATCCCGGCGGGAGGCGCTCTGGGCAGCGGCCAGCCACGCGGGGGAACCCCGGGTCCCTCGGGAGCGCAGCCGTGCGGAGGCCCTTCCTGTCGGTCTGCGCCGCAGCTGGCCGCGCGGGAGGCCTGGCCGAGGCTCCCGGGGGGGGGAGCGGGAGACGGCTGCTGGCTGGGACCTCCAAGCAGTTTAGTTCTAAGTGGGAGGTCGATTTCTGGAATCTGTCAGGCGCGGGTTCTTCGTGCGTGATGTGTAGGCGCCGTTACCCGGCACCACTCCAGTCCCTTGGAAGGCCTTCCGGGGGGAGCATCTGCCGGTGCGGCCCGCCCGTATCAGCGCCCTTCGCTTCAGCAGAGTGTGAGCTTCTCAGCTGGAAGGCTCAGTGCCCCAAACCCCAGCCCAGCCCCTCTACAGGTCCCACCCAGGAGGTCACCACTGCGCAGGGTCGCTGCTTGTGATGTTCCGGAGGTCACTCCAGGTCACCTGTGTCCGTCACCTCTATTCTCACACAACTTAGGAAGGCAGGGACCTTCCATTGTTTTCCCGTCTCAGATGCACAAGCCAGGGCACCAGGGCCAGCAGCTTGGTCAGCAGCCACTGCCGGGTGGAGCCAGAGTTTGCAGCCCGACCCCGGGGCCATCCAGGGCCTGCGCTGTGCTGCTTCCGTGACCCTTCTAGGCCAGTGTGCAGAAGCCCCGCCGTGGGGTGTGGCAGCTCTGAAGCTCGGAGGCTCTCACCACCAGGAACTGCAGGGCGTTGTGCCTGAAAGCACATGAAATGAGATCCCGTTAAAGGGGTACGTGTCCAGACTCTGTCAGGTCAGCAGTGAGGGCTAGAGGACGGCCAGTCTAGAGGATGTGAAGAAGAGGTGTGGAGAGAAGTAACAGAAACACCTGCGGGTCAGACAGGTGACGTGGTACCTTGCCGCCCAGCCTCTTGTGGGGACCGAGCTGCTTTCTTGCAGGGAGGTTTGGGTCCCTGGCCTTTGCACAGAGGTAGGGGGTGACTGGAGGGGGCTTTGTAATGAACTGACTGCTCTCTGGTTTCATACGTCTTTTTACATTACTTGATAACAACTGGTTCCTTTCATCTCAGAATTTGTAGTTTTAAGTCTCTCTGTTTTTTTTATTTGATGATTTTTGTTTTCATCAGTATTTTAACTCATGGTCTGATCTACGGTTTTAAATTAGAGTCTTCTAGAAAAATAATTCGAAAAGAAACTAAAGGTTTATCTGCCTAGCTCAAGCGTGAGTCTAGGGCACTGTGTAAGTCACCTGGGCATCTGAGGAGCCTGGCCAGCCCTCCGAAGGGGTTTGCATGGATGACACAAGAGGAGGAAACTGTTGCATCGGTGAAGGGTGACAACGATCAAGGGCACTTGGGCATCAATACTAGGAAGTCATGTGTTTCCGTGAACATGAGATGGATCTGATTTCAAAGATGTCGACACGTGGGGAACGTGCTGCTTAGAACCAGTGAAGCAGGGCAGCTGTGGGGGTAAGACTTTCCGTCGGAGTCGTCATCTTCAGAGTGGGACGACTGATTATTCCCAGTCTGATGTGTACATTCCACCGTGGGATTTCCATCTTCTTAATGCCTCTACTGATACTTCAGGAAAGCACGTTCTGGGGAACATGCATATCAGAGAAGAAAATGATCTGGTAACGTGCTTGCAGTTTAATGTAGGGATTCCATGAGCAGAGTCTGCCTTTAGGAATCAGCTGTGCGTGGATTCTTTAGTGCATTCAGCATATTTTTGAGCCCAGGTTCGTTGTCATGTCTCTGAAATCAGGCGGCATGTGCAGAAAGCTCATTGGTCATGGTTGTATGAACAGATGTACATTCACACGGTTTGTAGTGGTGTTAAATCACATTTCGTGGTTTTAAAGATTTTATTTATTTCTAGAGAGGGAAAGAAACATCAGTGTGTGGTGCCCCATACTGGGGACCTGACTGCAACCCAGGCATGTGCTCTGACTGGGAATGGTGACCCTTTGGTTTGCAGGCCAGCACTCAGTCCTCTGGGCCACATCAGCCAGGGCGGACTCCTTGATCTTAAAAGTCTGTTAGTTCAGTGGGAAGTTCTGGGTTGCTGTGTCTGCCAGTTATTAAGTCTGAAGGGCCACTCTGAACTTTGACTTGCTTATCTAGAAATTATGTCAGAAGGTGTTTGCTAAAATCAAACATTGTGCAGTGCTTTTGTAACCTGTAAATTGTTGCAAATATTGGGTACAGCCGTTAATTCATTCTCATGTATTTTAAGGTGTATTTTGTTGTAGCTATATTTAAGTGTAAAAAGAGCGGTTTTTTTGTTTTTTCCTGACCTCCTTCCAATCTCTCCACTCACCCCAGGTCCCTCCTCTTGTGCCTGACCTACCATTTTCTGCATTATTTTTCAGCACTGATTCTCATTCCTTCAGTTTTGCTCATATGCCGTTGCCAGCATAGAATCTTCTTTTTGTCTTGTGTATCCTACCCACCCTCCCAAATCCATCTCAGAGCCCGCTTTCCCAGTGAGGTGCTGCTCGGCCAGCCCAGCCCAGCACCCTGCTTCGCAGTCCAGCCTCCCCTTCACTGGCACACCAGCCTGTGCAGCAGGCGGCTGTATGCTGCTCGCTGCTCCTCGATTTTCTCGGGTGGCTTGGGCTTGTCTCTTCGACCTGGTATGACTTGGGTTGTGGAAAGGTGTTACAGATCCATTCCGAACCTTTAGCCATGTGTTACCTTGTCAAGTTACTTGCCTTGTGCTGGCTTCTCTATAGAACAGGTGACATTCCTGTGAGCATTAGCAGAGTCGATAGGAACGTTCCAGGTAGTGCAGGGGAGGCTCTGGTAAGCAGGCCGCACCTGGTAACCATCACCTGGCATACAGAGGAGGACAACTTCTCTGCCTTTCTCCAGGGAGTCGGTTTCAGAGTATGAAGGGTGTGGGGCCGGCTTCCGGCGGAATTCATCTCAGAAGGCCACAACAGTGTCCTGAGGGCTGCGGGTGCTGGGTGTTGGAACAGAGAAACCCAGGTCCTGCCTCTCAAAGCCCTCTGCTCAGGCAGACTGACCAGCAGGTGGGCCACTGCACTGTTCTGAGAGCAGGGCTGTTCAGCTGGTCAAGAGAACGGGATAGAAGTGCCTGTACAGAGACTGGAGGTGGGGGGTGGGCAGGAAGAGAGAGGAAGGGAAGGGGAGAAAATGTGCTAGATTCAGGGGGCTGGAGTGGAGATTGGAGAGATTGTGGTGCATTCTGGGAAGCCAGAGTGCTTGTCAGGGGCAGGTCTGCAGGGTCCTGGGGTGCTGAGCAGAAGCCTTGCCTACCGTGCAGAGGACTTGGTGTTAAGCCACAAAGTGATTGGGGGAATGAGCTGTTAAGATTTTAAGCAGAGGAGGGACATCGACTGGACTTCTTTTTTTTTTTGGAAGGTCACTCTGGCCAACGGAGTAAGAACGGAGGCAGAAATGCCGGTCACAGCATTGCTGCAGTGATAAAGGCTGGGAGCGTGGGCCTGCTCTGAAGCAGAGGCCTGCTGCCTCCTTTGGAAAGGGCAGACAGTGAGTGTCCCGGGCTTCACAGACCACGCTGTCTCTGTTGCAACTACTGGGCTCAGCTCCGCCTTTGGAGCAACAAAGCAGCCTGAGTCCCCGCTCAGGAGTGGCACGGCGGTGTTTCAGCACCATCATGCACAGGGCAGCGGGGTCGGGCGGGGCCCTGGGCTGCGGTTGGCCAGCCCTAGGCTGGACCAGTGGTTTTCAGCCTGTGGTCCCAAGAGGACCCTCAAGCTTTCGTTCACATAGGTTATAGCTACCGATATTTCTTGTGTTTGAAATCAAAACAGAACAACTGAAAGTCCATTTTACTTTAAATTAACTTAGTTCGTGGTAGCATAGCAATTTTAATGAAAAACTGACTCGGTGCAGAGCTTGGCATCGTTTTGCACTTTGCAAACCCCCATAAGTCCAGGGCCCAGTAGCAGACAGCTGGATTCTCAGATGTGCTTCTGATCCAGTCTGTTGCAACTGTCTAATTGAAATACATGAAGAAAATTCAGCCTCAACTTACACGTAGTTAGAAAAGGAAGGGATGATGTAATAGCTGCCTTCTATAGTTGATGCTCTTTAATAGCGGAACAAAACTGGAGATGACGGTTTCCTCAAGTTTAGTTACACTGCAGAGCCCAAATCTGTCGGTGGACTTTTTCTCTTGTTACATTAAAACCCACA